AAAAAAAAAAAAAAAAAAAAAAAAAAAAAAAAAAAAAAAAAAAAAAAAAAAAAGGGAGGGGGGGGGGGGGGGGGGGGGGGGTGTTTACATGCCCTCTCATAGTTTGTGATTGAGCAATTCATTCACAAAGTTAAGAGGTAAAGACTGCACACAGTCGCACAGGGATACACAAAACAAATCACAGCTCTGGATCAGGACAAAGAGTGAAGCGCATTTCGGTCAACACTTCAGCTTTGCTTCCTTGCTTTATTATACTTTTTGGGGTTCTGTGGCATTCACACACTATTGATGGGCGATGAGCATCAGCTGGAACCCGACTGGCGGTCTGCAATGGAGAGAGAGAGAGAAAGAGAGAGGAAGGGGAGAAGAGATCTCTCCCAAGATCGCCCGTATCACAAATATGTCCACAGGACGTAAAACCCCCACCACTAAGAACGTAAATAAGGAGAAAGACAAAATCTTAAAATACAAAACCCAGCTATCTCTTAGATAGTGGACACACAGTACTTTGATAACTCTCTCTTATACGAATGGGCATCTGCCATAACGTTCTCCGCCCCTTTATTGTGCCGGATATCCAAGTTGTTCTCTTGTAGAGTGAGAGACCACCGCAGCAATCGTTGATTGGCACCTGACATACGAGAAAGGTACACCAGAGGGTTATGGTCAGTATACACTACAACAGGTCTAATACTGTTCCCCAGGCATACATCAAAATGCTTGAGAGCTAATAACAGTGCAAGGGCCTCCTATTCAATTACACTGTAATTCCGTTGAGCTCCAATGAACTTTCTAGAATAATTGGAGGCAGGATGTTCAACACAAGCTTGATCTTCCTGTAACAATACTGCTCCAGCACCATTATCACTTGCATCCACCTGCAATTTAAAAGGTTTTTCAAAATCAGGGGCAGAAAGAACAGGAGCCTGACAGAGGAGATCCTTCACTGCTTCAAAGGCATATTGACAGTCAGTAGACCACACAAACTCTCGGTTTGTGCTGAGGAGATCTGTGAGTGGACAGACCAAGTTGGAAAAGTTTGGACAAAAAGCTTGATAGTAACCACTCATCCCTAGAAAACGTCTTAGTTCAAGTTTATTTGATGGAACAGGAAAATTGAGTATGGCTGTTATTTTAGCATTAATTGGTTTTACCAGTCCCTGACCAACTTGCTTACCCAAATAGGTAATAGTACCTTTAGCAAATTCACAGGCGTAGCAGGTGCATTTCTCATCCCGAAAGCTAACTTTACGGTAATCCTTACAGAACCGAAAGTTAGAATCAAGTTTAGGTACAAGCAGGCAGTGAGAGCTCCATGGGCTCTGACTGGGCACAGCCATACCGTGATTTAACAAGTATTTATCTTCATCTTGCATAACTTCTCGCTTTTGTGGATTTAATCTGTAAGGGTGCTGTTTTGCTGTTTTATTGGTTTGGCATTTCCCACATCAATGTCATGGGCACAGACAGATGTTCTACCGGGGACATTGCTAAACAAGATGGAAAAAGTACTCAGCAACTCCATCAAGTCATGAGACTGTTCTGCGGTGAGATGCAAAGGGAAACCAGAGAGATTTTGTAGTATAGCAGAATTTTGAAGGCGGGTGGGGAAGATAGAGAAGTCTTGGCCTTGCAATTCATCCTCCTCTGTAGAGGACTGCTACACTGTAGCAGCAGCACAAGCTAAGGGAGAACTGATTGGTATTCTGGTATTCTGATTGGTATTCTTCTCAGATGTTGTTCTACTCATATAGGCTTTAAGCCGATTCACATGGCGTACACAACTTTTACACTTCTGGTCAGGTGTAGCAACAACATAGTTTGTTTCATTCAACTTCTTTTCAATCAAGTACGGACCACCAAATTTGGCATGCAGAATCGACCCAGTTGGTGGCAACAAAACCAATCCGAAATCAACCCCGCCGGCCGCGGCATTCACAAGCCCCCCAGCCGTTCCTCAGTCAAGCCCGCCGGCCGCAGCTCACTCAAGCCCGCCGACCACACCATTCACCTAAAGGGGAATCGAAGGAGGAGAAGGCGGTTGGCTCCAGCCCCAGAGCTCGCTCCAGTGTCGGCTCTAGCCCCAGAGCTTGCTCCAGTGCCAGCTCCTCAAAAGTGCCTTGCTGTGCCTGCTCCTCCAGAGCACCCTCCAGTGCCAGCTTCTGGTAAGTGCTTCCCAGTCCCTGAATCCAGCCCAGAGTGGGCTCCTGTCCCCGAGTTTAGCCCAGAAAGGGCTCCAGTTCCCATTTCCACCCCAAGGAGGGCTCCAGTCCCCAAGTCAATCCCTGTGAGGGCCACAGTTCCCGAGTTAGGCCTATGGAGGGCCTCTAAAGACGATGAGTCTCCCCAAGGATTTTTTTTGCCCCGAGCTGCGTGCTCCGCCATGGCCCCTGAGCTCCCTGTCCCGCCATGGCCTCCTGAACTGTCTGATCCGCCATGGCTTCCTAGTCTGCCTGCTCTGCCATGGCTCCCCGACCTGCCTTTGTGTGGTTTTCCCTATTGTAAATAAAGGCATGTGATAATTCTGGAATCTCCTTCGTCTCCTCGCTCCTTCACAGTAGTCACACTGTGACACTGACAGGCACCCCCTGATGAAGTTTTGCTTAAGGCCCCCAGAAGTCTTTGAGTCTTTGTATTCAAGTTTCAAATCAAGACCGAGTCAAATTATCCTGGTTAAAAGTTGCAATGTGGTCAAAAAAACACTGAACAGTTGTGATATATAGTCAATGTCAGAATTATGAGCCCCATTGGTAAATATGAGCAAAGAAGCCTGTGAAATTAAATCTGCATTGTTTATCCTTATGATCATTTAAATGTCACAAAATGTACCTAATCTAATCTATTTATTATTATGATTATTACTATTAGAAGACGAAACTTATTTTTATTAGTAATATTAATATTATAAACACAGGGAATATTCAGAGAGGACAGTTAGCCTTCATTTTATTTAATGGGATAAGAGTCCTGCAAAATGGATACGGGGTGGTGACCCAAAAAGCATTGAGAACCACTGAGATGAACTGTCGCTTATAGTTAAAATTTCAGGTTTGAATTTAACAATTGTTGCTCAGGGTCCCAAATTTAATCAATTGTTGTTAATCTCTGAACTCTCTTATTGTCATTTTCAGATGATGAAGATTCACCATCAGATTCAGGATGCTTGAGAATCTTGCTGTTTGGGAGGACAGGAAGTGGAAAGTCTGCCACAGGAAATGCTATCCTCGGAAAAAATTGGTTTTACAGTAAAGACAGCTCATGTTTAGTGACCACTACTTGTACAAAGGTAATTGGTGAAGTTGATGGTAAATCAGTAGCTGTTATTGATACTCCAGGACTCTTTGACCCCTCACTGACAAAAGAACAAGTGCAGGAAGAAATAATGAAATGTGTTTCACTGTCAGCACCTGGACCACATGCGTTCATCACTGTGTTTAATATGGGAAAAATCACCAAAGAGGAGAAAGACACTTTAGAAATGATAATGAAGATCTTTGGACCAAAAGCAGCAGAGTTCAGCATTGTTCTCTACACTAGAGGAGACAAACTAAAAAAACAAACAATAGAACAATATGTAGGAAAATATAAAAATGATGACCTTGAGAAACTGATCACTGACTGTGGAAACAGATTCCTGGCTTTTAACAACACAGAAACACAAGATCAGACGCAAGTTACTAAGCTGTTCACTATGATAGAAGAGATGAAGAGATCTAATCAGGGCCGATATTTCACTAATGAGATATTTGAGGAGGCAGCGATCACCGTTAAAGAGAGAATGAAAATTATAAAAGAGAATGAAAGACAAAATCAGGCTCAAGTTGAAGAATTAAAAGCCAAATATGACATGCCATTCGAAAGCATGAGAACAAGACAGGAGGCGAAGAAACACAGGGCAGATGAGGAAAGAGAGAGACTGGAGAAGAAGTTCAGAGAACAAGAGGAAACACTGAGGAGAGAGTTTGAGGAGAAAGAAAAATCAGAGGATCAGAAACGATCAGAAGAGGAGGAACAGCAAAGATATGACTATAATCAAAGAAGAGAGGAGATGAAGAGAGAGAATGAAGATCAGAGAAAACAGTATGAAGAAGAGCAAAAAGAAAGAGAAGAAGAAGATAAAAAGAGAGAGGAAGAATATAAACAAGCTCAAGAAAAGATGAAAATTGATCATGAACACATCATGACAGAGTTAAGAAAAGAACAGGAAGAGGAAATAAAAAAGAGAGATTCAGAGGAACAAATGAGGAAGAAACAAGAAGAGAAAGAGAGAGAAGACTGGAAGAGAAAAATAAAAGAGGCTGAAAATGACAAAGAGGCTCAAAATGTAATTAAACGACAGCAGAGAGAATGGGAGGATGAGAAGAAACAACAGATGAGTGAACGAGAGGAAGAGGAAAGAGAGAGAAAAGAGAAACATGAGGAACAGCTGAGAGAAAAACAAGAAGAACTGGAGGACAAGAGAAAGACATTTGAAAGAGAGAGAGAAGAAGAAAAACAGATGATAGAGGAGGAGAGAGAGAGACAGAGAACAGAGAGAGAACAGAAAAAGAAAGAATGTGAAGAGAAGATCAATGAAATGGAGAGACGTTATGAGCAGCTGGAACGAGAGGGAAAAAAGGAGTGGAAGGGAAGAAAACAAGATGATGAAGATAGACGAGTGGAGAAGAGAAAGAGATGGGAGAAAATGATGGAAGATCTGAAACGAGAACAAGAGGAGGAGATCAAGAGAAGAGAAAAAGAGGAGAGAGAAAGAATAGGCAGAGAAGAAAAAGAGTGTGAAGAAATGAAACAGAAACTTGAAGAGGAAATAGAGAAGATGAAGAAGAAACATGAAGATGAAACCAAAACACAAGAAGCAGAATTGAATGATTTCAGAGAGAAAGTAGATCAGCAGGTTAAGGAGCTCACAGAGAAGATAACTGAAACCTATGATGACGAAAAATCAAAAAGGGAAAGAAGTTGTCTTGTCATGTGAAATATTTTTAAATATTACTGACTAGCTCTGGTCTTTTGAAGGGTTCTTTTGCGTTTCTGTTTCTCTCAAGCATGAGTGAGTTACTGTATCTGTATTCATTTAATCAGGGCTTTTCCCACCTGCTCCTGAAGGTTCAGAGTTTAGTCACAACCCTGCAGTTACACAGCTGTCGGTCATTAAAGGGATAGTTCACCCAAAAATGAAAATTAGCCCATGATTTACTCACCCTCAAGCCATCCTAGGTGTATATGACTTTCTCCTTTCAGACGAATACAATCAAGATTTATATAAAAAAAATGTCCTGGCTCTTACAAGCTTTATAATGGCAGTGAATGGGTGTTGAGATTTTGAAGCCCAAAAAAGTGCATCCATCCATCATAAAAAGTGCCTCACACGGCTCCGGGGGTTAATAAAGGCGTCCAATGCGTTTTTGTTTAAAACTTTATAAGCCGTAATCTCTAGCTTCCGCTGACTGTTGTACACATGTTCATTCCATTTTTATGATGGATGGATGCACTTTATTGAGCTTCAAAACCTCGACCCCCATTCACTGCCATTATAAAGCTTGTAAGAGCCAGGACATTTTTTAATATAAATCTTGATTGTATTCGTCTGAAAGCAGAAAGTCATATACACCTAGGATGGCTTGAGGGTGAGTAAACCATGGGGTAATTTTCATTTTTGGGTGAACTATCCCTTTAAGAGATCTCAATAAAGATGTTTTATTAGAGTTGGAGCTCTACTGGAACAGATGTGAACTAAAATAATCATACAAAATTAACTTTCTCTTGATAGATTTTAAAACACGAAGAAGCAACATGAATTATAGCAGATAAAAAAAGAAAAAGAAAAAGAAATAAAAAAGACTGGGCTGTAAGATATAGTGTAGTGAAGACCAATCTTAACAGAATCCTGTGTTCAGAACAGATCGCTCGCTTGATCCAGCAGTAAGAAAACTGATGTCAGCTGTTCATGAACGATGCTGATGCAGGATTCTTAATAGCCACCTGTGTGTAGCTTCAAGAGCAATCAGACATTTATTCATTTATAATCACTGAATCATATAATCATTGTTAATTTAATTTTTCAATTTAACCATTTATGATACATTTTAATAACCATTTAATCACTTATAATCACTTATTATATTACGCATTATTTTATTATTTTCTGCTTATGTAATGCTTGATATTGTTGTTTAATCTAATGGTGGTTCCAGAGGACACACACCGTTATGATTGTGTGTTTCAAGGGATATTTGTCTTCAGGAGTAAGAGAATGTCTCTATTTCAAGGTT